TCTTGCCTCAGCCTCTCAAGTAGCTGGGACTACAGGCACCTGCCACAACGCTTGGCTAATTTTTTTTTGCAGTTGTCATTGTTGTTTAGCTGGCCTGGGGTGGGTTTGAACCCACCAGCCTCGGTGTATGTGGCCGGCATCATTAACCAGTGAGTTATGGGAGCCACCCAATAAAGATGTTTCTAAGAGCCCAAATAGCAATAAAACAATATAGGCACATCATGTTTCCAGTATTACTCAAGAAGATTGCAGTTAACATTATCTTCATTTTATAATCAAGGAAACCGAGGTCCACAGAAATGTGAAGAACGTGGCTCAGCGTGTAGTGTATCGGAGTTGTTGGGAGGGTACAAAGACTAACACCTGGTGCCTCATGTGTTTTCCAAGCCCACCATCAGATGAGAGAGCAGTGATTGGCGTATCAAGGAATATTCTCTTTGGTCAAACAGCCACAAAGAATAGCAAGGGCTGGGCAAAAACAGCTGGAGGGCTTAAATAGCATGAACAATATAGCAATAAATAAATAAATAAATAAAGGGGAAAACACTAATGCCAGATACACTAACTTGCAAGGACAGATACAAATCTTTAATTTAAAATGGAGTCAGTTTATTCATGGAAAAAAGAGCAACAAACGCCCCTCAGAACTTTTTCAGTCCAACAATTAAAACTGCATTAAAAAGCCAATAGGGAGTGTGGAGATGGAAATGGATATGTGGAGAAACTACTGTTCCCCTTACCTTGAATTTATATATTTTTTAGGCAGAGAGAGAGTTGTGATTACTTTCCTTCCCAGGAGAGAGGATTCCCAGTTCCACTGTGTTAATGTGCACAGGATTCTAGAGGATGGAAGAATTTGACGGTAACTGTAGGAGTTGAGAAGAGACGGATGGCTGGTTCACAGAACCACAACTACCACCAATCACCAGAAATGGGGGGCAGGACTACTATCGTTCCCACTGATAAAATCTGAGGTATTTAAAGGCTCTGCAGACACAGAAACTCACTTCTCCCTCCCTGAGAGGTAATGGTAGAGGCTGAGAAGGTTGCTGTAGAAGAACATACCTCTTTGCACTGAGTTTTCAACACACATTAGTAACATCTAAGTAGGACTGGACTAGGTCAAACACTTCTCTTAGTGAAGTGGTTCTGAAGTCTTCAGAATGGGTTCCAAGGCAACAGTGTGATCAATGATTAGTTTTTCTGTCTGTTTTTGGCTTATCTTGGTGCAAAAATCCATGGCAATACAGAATATTACCTACTTAGTATTAATAGTGTGGTTGTTTACTGTAAGAACTGTATTAGTAAAGAATGGGATGTCCAGGTCTCAGCTGTCAGGGTTGATCCTGGCCCGTTTTGCTGGGCTATTCTGGTCATCCAGATGGCAGACACCTTCGGGGGTGACATCTGTTTTTTTCTCCTCCATAGATTCCAAAGGGAAGTCCTGACCTGTGGCCAGGACCTGTCGGATAGTCATGTTAACACGAGCAGTTTTCAAGTAGCTGGCACACACCTGCCAGTCCTCCACAGAACAGGGCTCTATCACTGAATCTCTGGGGAGGACAGCTGGGAGAGGTGTCTCCAGGCAGTGAGGCAGGCTTTCCCCCTCTGGGTTTGGAAGGACCCGAGGGACTGCGTGGTTCAAGAGGCGGCTGAAACCTGACATTATCATGATGTCACCACTGTGCATAAACATGGCTGTGGGGGCCTCTTCTCTTTTGAGACCTCCCAGGAGAAAGATGGCAGACTGTCCAAAGCTACAAAAAAACAAGAAAAAAAAAAAAACATGGAATAGTAAGTTTCTGTTATTAAGAATAGTTTGGGAAATTATTGCCCACTGCATTATTTCCTAATTTTAGGAACTTATTGCTACTAAATTATTATTATTATTATTATTTTTTAAATAGAGACAGAGTCTCACTCTGTTGCTCAGGCTGAGGTGCACTGGTATGATCATGGCTTACTGTAGCCTTGAATTCCTGGTCTTAAGTGAAGTAATCCTCTCATCTCAGCCTCTGGAGGAGCTGGGACAACAGGCTTGCACCACCGTGCTTGGCTAATTCTTATATTCTTAAATTCTCTTCTGGCTGTGTCTATGAGTGACCAATCTGTGATCTGTCACCTATTCTCTGACAGCCCACAGACATGCTACAAAATACAATTTGAGGCAGTTAAATAAATGAATTTAGTTTTGACATTATCTTTAAGTCTTCCAATAAAATGAGTCTTTTACTGTGTTATTCATTCTTCCACTTTAAAGACAACACAATAAATAAGAGGCACTTTGTTGAGATACAGGTACAGCAAGGTGCATAAGTTATGTTTATGAGAACAAGGAGAGTAAACTCCTCAGGCTTCAGTGGTTTGCTCTGCATTCTGCCTTCTACTCCAAAAAGATCACTTTGCTCTATAGCCTCCTTCTTGTCTTTCCTCTCGTTATAAAAGGCAGAGCACTGACAATACCTCTCATTACTAAAGGCAGAATTCATGCATCTTAAACAGAAATAGTAACTGCAATCTGGCCAGTGCTTTTTTTTTTTTTTGTAGAGACAGAGTCTCACTTTATCACCCTTAGTAGAGTGCTATGGCATCACACAGCTCACAGCAACCTCCAACTCCTGGGCTTAGGCGATTCTCTGGCCTCAGTCTCCCAAGTAGCTGGGACTACAGGCGCCCGCCATAATGCCTGGCTATTTTTTTTGTTGTTGCAGTTTGGCAGGGGCTGGGTTTGAACCTGCCACCCTCAGTATATAGGGCTGGAGCCCTCCCCACTGAGCCACAGGCACTGCCCCTGGTCAGTGCTCTTAAAGAACTAACCTAATTTTACTTGATTAATTGCCAAGATTCTCTGAAGTGAAAGGTTATAGGGTCCAATCATTTAAAAAAGTTTTATAGTTTTATTTGTTTATTTTAGCTTAAAATACATTACAGAAAAGAATTACATGATAATAGTCAAAATCTCTGGAACTAACTTACCTGAATGACAGCAGGGGTTTGGAGTGATCTAGTTCAGATCTGTCTACATGGATTCCCAGGGTGGAGTCTAAACGGTAGTAATTCAGGATACCTGCTTCAGCTCGGAAACCCTGAAATCCACAGGCAGCAGCTACTTGCTCTGAGAGGAAAGCCAGGTCAGAAGGGAAAGGTGTATAATGATCTGCTGAGTATTTCTTTGGTAAAAGTAGAAAAAATAAGAAAAATAAACAATGATCTCAGGAATACAGGAAACTATGGCATAAGATTACCTACCACTTTAAAATCATCTAACTTAGAAAGTAATATTCACACTGCATTACCTATATATTCATTCTTGAGGCATCTAGTAATATAATAACGACCCATTCAAAAATATCAAGCACTACACTATGCGGTGATAAATTAGACAAATTCACACTGCAAGGAGTCTGTGCATAAAGCAATTACAATGCCACCTTCTAGTTAGTACATTGTAATCCCAAACAGGGTAATTCTTTTAGGGCAAAAAGGCAACTCAAAACTGTTGATGTCAAAGGTACCTAAGAGCTGGGCATGATGGCTCATGCCTGTAATCCCAGTACTTGGGAGGCTGAGGTGAGTAAACTGCCTGAGCTCACAAGTTCAGGACCAGCCTGAGCAAGAGCAAGACCTCATCTCTAAAAATACCCTGGTGTTGCAGCAGTCGCCTGTAGTTCCAGCTACTTGGGAGGCTGCGACAAAAGAATTGCTTGAGCCCAAGAGTTTGAGGTTGCTGTGAGCTATAATGTCACAGCACTCTACTGAGGGCAACAAAGTGACACTGTCTCCCCCAAAAAAAGCACCCAAGGAAACATAATGACTAATATAAGGTAGCATCCTAGGTAAGATCTTGGAACAGAAAAAGGATATTGGCTAAAAATTAAGGAAATCTGAGTGAAGCAAGGACGTCACTATTATAATAATGCATTACTACTGGCTAACTAATTGAGACAAAGGAACCACATTAATGTAAGATGTTAGTAATATGGGGAACTGGGTAATCTCTGTACTATTGTCTCAAATTTTTAATAAATCTAAAACTATCCTAAAATAAAAAGTTAATTTAAAAAAAGCAAGTCAAATAGTATAACCAGTTTGGTTTGGAGCACTCAGCTTGCAACATTTTTTGACATACTCAAAACACATGAATTTACTCTGACTCAGACATGTATTATGTCAGAGGCAGGATCTTAAAATGGACAATACTTTCAGCATTTCCTAGAAATGCCTGTTTCTTAGCACCTATGGAATATCTTCTTCTTCTTTTTTTTTTTTTTTGGAGACAGAATCTTACTTTGTTGCCCTTAGTAGAGTGCCGTGACATCATAGCTCATAGCAACCTTAAACTCTTGGGCTCATGAGATTCTCTTGCTTCAGCCTCTGGTAGCTGGGACTACAGACGACTGCTACAACACCAGGGTATTTTTAGACATGAGGTCTTGCCCTTTGCTCAGGCTGGTCTTGAACCGTGAGTTCAGGCAACTCACCTGCCTCAGCCTCCCAGAGTGCCAGAATTATAGGCATGAGCCACGTCACCTGGCCTGTACAAATATCTTTTTCATTTAAAAAAAAAA